GTGCATCAGATTTATGTGTGCATGAGAAACACATTGCAAATATTTCAGCTCAGGACTTGTGAATGTAAAAAAACAAATAAAATTATTTGCGATAAAATTTTTATCATGTGAAAATCTATGTATTTAATTAGTTGAATTTAACGAAACTCAATAAAACTAATTTTTATTGTTTGGCTTTCCCATAAGGCCAGTCATTATAAATATTTGTCCTATCTGTTTTAATTTGTGTTTCATGAATACTGCACAACACTGGTGCAGTTAATACCTGTTTTTAAAGTGCTTTATAAAAAAAATTGACATTGGTTAAATTACCAACTGTAATTCTAACACATGGACATGTTTTGATCCAAGTCAATCTATTGTAGCTCAGACTATAACATGCTTAGTGTTGTCTACATAAAATAACCCTATTGAGTCTAAGAAAATGTATGAAGATAGCTATTTTATGACTCAGTTTTGCTACTTCTGCTAGACAAGGAGAGAGAAATAACCGATTGAACTATTTGCACTCTTGAACTGTCCCTACTGAAACAAATCATTCGGCTGGACCTCTCATCTAAATTACTAATGTTTTATAAGAGCTGAGTGGCACTTCCCACGGTTCTGAAGGTAATTCCCTCAAGATGGTGGTGTATGAAGCTGAGCATGGACTTATGTGCCTGGATGAACTTACCTGACCCTCTGGATCCAGATGCAGTAATCCGTGATGTACAAGTCATTCAGTATGTAGGCTGGGTCGTTCTCTCTGAAGACTTTATGAATATCCAGCAGGCATTTGAGGACACAGGCTTTTCCTTGGCACGGGAACACAGCGTGGAAGGCAAATGGAAAAACAGTGTTATTTGAAGTCTGTACAGAGGATGAGAATGTGCTGTGGCTGCTGGCAGATGCAGCATCCATCTTAAGGCTTGCAGTCTTTGTTCCATACATAAAAGCCAAGGTATGAGATGAGAGGGAAATCCTAGCATGCTGCAGGGTAATTTGATCCGTATGTTTCAAAAAGAGTTCCTGGGTAAGAAGGGACTCATTTGAGACATAGGAGACAAAGAACCTGAGTGTGTGTTTAACAACCCCTTGACACTAGAAACCTATTTCAAATTCATTTTGCATTCTATTTAATGCTGGTTCTATCTGGAGTGTGCAACTTTGGTATTGATGCTGGTGTTTTTTGTGCGATGAGTTGTAAGGATTGCACTGATATAAAAATTTGGCCCAATACCAAAATCCAATATTTTCATTGCAGCTGCGGCTGATAACCAATATTTACCGATATTGCATAACATAAAAAAAAAAATTCCCCTCTCACCCTCCGTGTGTGGTCTCTTTCATCCTCTGAGCTCGG